TAGAACATAATTAACCCAAATATAAATAATATAAAAAAAATAATTTTAAAAAATTGGCATTTTTGTAAAGATTTCAAAAATATGACATTTTTTGTAAAATGACACTTTAAAAGTGGCATTTTTTGAAATTTCTCATAAAATAATGTTTTGTTTAATGAGGACTAGACAAAAATCGATTATTTAGGACAAATCAAAACTCAAGTCTACTGACAACTATATGTAACATGCGGATCAATACCCTAAATATATTACATCTACAAAATTAATGATTATGCAATCCGACGCACGACTTGTTAATAGAGTATGGACAGTGGAGCATATTCATCGGTGAGCTTATCTCATCAATATAATACTAGTATATTTATTATATTTTAAGTTGAAAAACTCTCTACTTAATAATATTTTTATTCGTTAGATATCCTCCATTGAGTATCTTATTACTAAAATATTAATATTTTTAGTATCATTTAATTTAAAACTTATGTTAAAATTTCATTAATTTTTTTAAACATATCATACTACATTTTCAAATATAATTTTTAATTTTAAAAATCTCACTTTTTATTAATTATTATAACATTATATTAACTAAAACAATATTAAGTTTATATCTTGTATTAAAATCAATTAAAAATAAATATTAAATATTTTTTAAAATAGATTTTTAAAGTTTAAGAATCTCATTTTTTAATAATATATTATTTTGTAAACTAAAAAAATATTAATTTAATATTTCGTATTAACCTTAAATAATATCAATTAAAAATAATGTTAATATATAATTTATATTTATACATAATGGAACTTGATATATAGATAAATTTATTTTATGATTTATAAAAAATATAAAAAATAAAAATAACAACATATAAATTATTTAATTAATATTTTAAACTATAAAAATATGATTTATCACAAAAATTGAAACCAATTATAAAATGACAAATGTTAACTTTTTAAGGAGAAAGTGAGTTTCTCATGGATATCTCAAATAAGAGACTCTCTCATAGATATCTAGACAAATTTTAATAAAATATTATATTTATTTTAGTTTTGATTTATGTTTAACGAAGATCTCTCGTTAAAAATGCTCTTATATTCTATATTAAAACTCGTAAGTCCTCTAGTTTCGAGATAGTCCGATTCCATTCACTTTTACACAAAACCCAATTACTCTTTTCTTTATTTCTCTTTTCTACGAAACTCTAAAAAACCTAACAGAATACACATGTGGATCAATTTTTCTATCATGATGTTACTTGACCTTATTTTTCCCTTATGTTTTTCGATCTTATTCTTGACAACAGTATTCTAAAGATATCACGTGTTTTCTATTGTTTATGTAAAATTTGCTCCTCATATGACAAACTTAGTGTTTTTTTGGCAACAATTGCAATGGTATCATTTTTTCCATGATTTGTTTACTTTAAAAACATAATAATAAGAATGATTATAGTTCTCGAATGTCAAATTAAACTTTTCCTAGAAAACCATGACATACAACCAATTATTCCCACTCTCGGGTACCTTTTATTAATAATTTTTTTTTTTAAGATCTGATTCATTCACTAATTTGATATTGGATAAAAAAAAAAGTTGCTACATCCAAAGTACAACAAAAATATGCCAATTTAGTTACATATCAACAAAAACATAAGTGACCGATGGAAAAGTGGATTCAAATAATGTTATTCGATACAAAGTTTTATAATTTAGGGCAATTGCAAAAATGTCATTTTTAGTGTGCATATTTGCAACAATGCCACTTAAGAATATCCATTTGCAAAAATGCCATTAATTATGGATTTTTAAATCCTAAATCTTAAAATTATAAACCMCAAAAAATGTTTTGACCCCTAAAACCCCTTAAACCCTCAAAACTAAACTCTAATACAACATAGTTAATCCAAACATAAATGATATAATGAAAAAGTTTTTTGAAAAAATTGACATTTTTGCAAATGTTTTGAAAAATGTGGCATTTTTAAAAAGTGTTATTTTTAAAAATTTCTCTATAATTAATTTACTAACAACATATTTTAAAATCCATTGTTTTTCCTTTTCAAAATCAATTCTCAATTTGATAAGATTAGTTATCTTTCTCGACTACGGATGAGCGTGAAACAAAGATTTTATATTTTAATAGTATTTGTGATTTATCTTTTGTTTGTATCGATATTTTTCCATTCGTATTTACTATGCAATTATCTAGATATATGCTATCTGGATTTTTTTTTTTATCAAACCGAAATTTCATGGAAATAAAAGAGTTTAACCTCTACTAAGGAAGGATACAACAAAGCCACAAAGAGCTAAACAAGCCAAAGTCTCAATCAAGATATTGATCAAGCATATGATAAAGTTAAATCAACTAGAACTCAAATAGAGCCTTACGGATAAAAATGAAATTATAAGTTCAAGCAAAGTAGTAGTAAAAAAATGTCACACAAGTTCCTGATCGAAACCACTAAGACAGGGGATCAACACCTCCATGATCGTTGAGGCCAAATAGACAACACCATCTATTGTTGAACGAGGGTCTTCGTTTCTGCTTCAAGAAGATTCGCTTTCGACACAATGCTCCCTATATCACTAGTCACAAGTGAAGAATTTGGGAGGAAAACAAACTCCATAAAGGAGGAGAAGACAATATCTAAACTGGCCCAAAGAATCGAGGGTAAGGAGGGAGGAGGTACTCCTCTAACATCTCGCAGGTGGAACGAACAGGGAAACCAACGGAAATATTGGATAGAAACCGTGGGTGAGGTAAGGATGCTTAAATCGAGTGGACGAAAGACAGAGGCTGGAGGTCGATAGAGAGACGAAGAGGTGTGGAGATCTGGCGGATCGGGAGGGTCTAGCGAATCTGGAGGTTTCAAAATCATCTTCATCAGTTGTATTAGAGAAAATCAAGCCGAGAGAAACCAATAGGAAACCGCCGGCTTCGTCGGTAAGGAGCCCACCAAAGGGAGAGCATTCTTCATCGAAGACATAGCCGAATCAGTCACAAAACATCTTGGAGAAAGTTGCAAAGGTTCTCGACGGCAGATAGATTTGCGGCGGAAAGATCTTCGGTGAGCCTCGAGATCAACCAGTGATGCAGCCGATGAAGAGACAGCGACAAGGGGCCATCAGATCTGCATTGGGGCGTTGGAGCAGTCGATACTTTGGAACTCGTGCCTGAGATAGAGATATTAGGGCGAACTATGCAGTTTATTTATTTGCTATCTAGTTATCCATT